AATGCGTTTATCTGTACATTCAGAACCCCTAATGAGTCGGAGCATGGTTTAACGAGTGACAGCTCCTGCATTGCAGGCCCGTGGAGCTCTTTAAACCTGCCTGAAAGTAGGAGGCGACACCATAATTTATATATAATGTTCGTTGACTTCAGCACGGTGTCCAATCACTCCAAGTTGCAAAGTACAATTCAGCAGCCCGGAATCTGTAGTCTGTCTATCATGGGATTGTTCGTTGTTGACGGGCGGTGTAAAGCTATCGGAGGAAATAAGATAACATTAAGGATGTGCTAGAACCACGCGTGGTATCGGTAGGCTGACCAACTAGTATCTAGAATTTGGATTACCAAATAATGCTGAAAAAACCCGGGCTAAAGAGAATGGGATGTATGTGCAGGATGGGAAAGTTTGCATCAGAGGTAGGAATATTCTGGTGGTGTGGACAAAATGAGACCTGGAGTACCCGTGCAGGAAAAGCTCGGTAAGTACTAACTAGCTATTTTGGCAAGAATGAATTCGCTTGGGGCTTTATAGATGCTCAGGACGACATTCCACTCATGGAGTTCTAAGCTGTTCAACTTACTAAGCTCTATCTTTATTTGGCCAGCAATGGAGTATGGACATCCAGAAATGAAGAGCCCCAACTCGAGTGAACACCGAGACTGAGTCCAGAATGGTGACCGGGTTGCTGAGACTATTGTTTAGACAACATTGCCAATATATTAAGACTTATAGTGGGCTCGGATGCAGAATAATTTCACAAGTTGATTGAAACTCTCATTTGCGAAGTCGGCACACGAGGAGTCACTCGATACCTGTCGGTAAACGGTGATTGGCGCCATGTGTTGTTTAAGTGAGGGCCAATCACACTTTTATTTAGCCACTCGTGGCTGAGCGGTTAAGTGATAAACCGCTGGTCGGAAGTAGCGAATTAAAAACTCTGAGTTTCCTAAGATGAGAATGGCCGATGACTCCCGATCAAGTTGAAATAGCGGTACGGTGCTCCTAGACTTTCCGGTGTGGACTGGCCTGACTGTCGAGATGAAATCTAAGTTGAAAATTACGAAACCTCAGAGAACCAACAACGCTTCATACGTTCGAACATAGACTCCACATGGCTGATTTACTATCATTGTTCAGAGTGAAGCAGGAAAACACGGAGCTGCCGCGTTTGTTCACATATGTACACGTCACACTCCATGCCATAGTTGCAAACCGGAATTGTCATACTTCTACCGACTTTCGGGAAGAGTGATAAAGGGACTGCGTGCGCTCGGGGCTATGAAGTCGGCTCCGCTCAAATCTCCACCATATATTTAGTTTGATAGTCTTGTTGTGGTTATATCACCAAAGTAGTCTCATCAATCCTAACGCGTTTTTTGCTAGTAAGGTCGATTACGGCAAGCGAAACGCTGTTACAATAACGCTTTCAAATAAGCCGTGTTTGTACGGTAGTGAATCATCAGTGTTGAGCTCTGATATCAAGTTGTCGATGATTATGATGATTCCACGCTGTCATACAGTAAACGGAGTCATAAAACCCAAACAACTCAGGGCCTCTGTTCAACAAGCTGATTTGATTTACCACTCTCAGGCTTTCAATACTTCATCTTGAATCCATCTAATCCTGATGAACGAAGAACTCACGTTAGAAGCGATCAAGCAAATTATACGTTACCAAGATAGACGTGGTGTGTGATATGTGACACGGTTTGGCCGCAGCAATAACATTCAAAAGCAGTGGTCAGTTGGAAACTCTGAGCTCCGCTTTCCAATCAAACCTTGCTTATCGCCATTTGGTGCACAAGTTCTCGCCCCTACATCTGTAATCTAAAAAAATTCAACAGGTGGAAATAATCTAGAAGCAGTAAATCACCGTTACGAACAGATATTTAAACGTTCTCTTCTTCCATGTCTCTTAATGCTTTCTTGAGTACTCTTCTCTTCACATGAACAACACAAACCTGGTTCTCAAGATTGGACATTCCCACTTGAACAACCGAAAGCAGCACCAGTGCTGACCATCTACACTGACCATTGATTAGAATTTCCAAATGCCACACCTGGATAATCTAAAAGCTATTGTTTCACATGATCCGCGAGAGAGGCATGAAGCCTACAAGACTGGTATCACATCTATCTCAGATGTATCCGTTCATCCAGCATATATTTAGGAATATTTGCACCAACCAATTTCACCTTAAAAGCTGGCGGCGAGTAAGAGCTTGGATGGCTCCGCTTTTAAAGGTAGAAGTGTTCTCTTTTCCAGTTTTGAGTGCGTTCGGCATATCAGCTGGCAATTCGCGTCCGAAGTTTCTTCTTTCTATTCATCCAATGCTTGTTGGGTAAACCCGCACCAAATAAAAAAGAGCCAGGTATCTGTATATCCCCTCTGCAATACAAAGTCATTGAGAATGAAAATCTGGGTTACCGTTATTGAAGGGACCTTCAAACCAGGCGTGTTAATCATATGTGCAGAGTGGTAGACTTCGATTATGCGAGTGATATTGTTCTGCTATTTGACAATCGTGAGTTTGTATAGACCACTCTAAATTGAATATCCGAAACGGTACCTCTTGCATATCCTTTTCACTTTCAAAGCCCCATTTTTACTCCAGAATTTCACACTCTTTGAGACTTCAGAACGAGTGGCTCCAGTTTGTTAGTGAGTTCACTTAACTTGTTGGCTACATAAGCTGCGACTCCATTGTGACGGGCAAATTCAGTGTACACATCACAAGCAATATTTACCAAATTTTGCCACCCTGACATCAGAAACGAATATTGCCTGGGTTGAAAGGCCGTGCCTACAAAGCGACCGCGAGAGCAGCTTTACTCAATGGCCGCAAACCTGGCCCCTCCAACTTGATGACCTCAAGCATCTTTAGCTAAGGTTTACTAGGTTAAGGTGGTTGAAGAACGTACCAAGTATGCTTTACTACCGTTTACTAAAGAAAGCCGTCCTCCTCTTTAAGCTGATGTTGGCGAAAATCACGTATAGGACAGGTCATGATGCGGCAACGCAAAAAGAATGCGGTCACTGCCAAGTTGAGCTTTGCGGGAGTTTCTTGCCTTTCTGGGTAGGATCCAGGTGGTTCTCGTTGTGCGTGATTGCAAACCCCAAAGGACATGGCACGTAGCCGACCTTTGTGGCATTATTGTTGCAGATTCCTTACCAGACTACTTAGCTAACAATCTTCTCTGATGTATTAGGCCTATTTTGGGTGAGGTACGCAAGGGACATTGTATCCACCCCACTGATGTCGTCTTGTTCCAACATGATACTCAAATGTGTCTGTCTCCTTTGTTTTGGAAGGTGAAGGAACCTCGCTCTTGGACTTCTTCTCTAGAAACATAGAACTTTTTACAATAAGTCTCAAAACGTTTCTTTTTTCATCCTTTACTGTGGCATCCTCCCTCTATGGTTGTACGGGAGTTGAATACTACCGGTGTATTGCATAGCTGTCAATGATGGCGGTGTTATCCTTCCACAACCAAGCGACCAAACCAAGTCTCCCAATAATTGGCCAATGAGCTCTACGTCGCGCCTATGGGAAGCTGCTAAGGGGAGACTGTCTCGAAAGAGCCCACACTGTGATTCAAGTTTTGACTAGTTCCTACATCCAAGTGTTTCTAATTGGTCGCCGTCTAGTTTGTTTCTAACAAACCATAATGTTTTGGCTTGAAAGTGCGGATGGAACTTCTACACGGATGAAGATTCCGACTCGTCGCTGATCGTTCCAACACAAGCGCGGTCACATATTAATTCCACTGCAAACCAAAGACCGGGAGAATGATAGTGAGACATCTACGGGTGATTGACCTAGTGTCAAAGTCGAAGGAGCCATAGGTGCATCCATCAGAGACCCACAAGCAACTGGGAGAAGCTTACGTACTTGGTTGGAATCCGCTTCACGTCTATCCGTCCGACCACTGAATCATCATTTTTATTGTGAGCTGTAAGAACCGCGTTCTTGCCGTACAGTGGTTTCGTGATTCGAGGAGATGGAGTAGGTAGCTGCGCATTGGAGGCAAGCTGATGAATTAGTGCGTAAATACAGCACTGTCATGGACTGTTAAGTGGGGAGAATCGGGAATTGAGCTATGCATTGAAGTCAATAGCTTGGATGCACGGGTGCCATTGAGGGCGCGACTGGACTGTCTGACAATGTCTCTAACCATTGACGTGGCCCGTCTCGGGGTCCCTATCCAGGAAGACGGCAATGACCAGCACAGCTGAGTTTGCTGGTAATGGCTTTTATACTTCGCTATGAAGTATACCCCTGTTCAAATTAACAAGACAACCAGCCCGAACGTGTCCAAATAACAGCAGAATGATTAATCTCTGGTCTGAGTTGCCAAGAGGAATGTGCCAAAAATAACCTGTACACACTAACCTACCGATACATTCGTGGCTAAGCCGTCCTCCAGTCCAAAATAACAGGGCTTGCTCCATCGTTGATGGTAGCTGTTCAATGCCCGGTACGGTCGCCCCCCATTAAAAGACGATTATTGGATTTAGAATATTGAATGAAAACAATCAAAGCGATCCACTCACCCAAAAGAGAATTTTTTCGGCTCGCAAAGTTTCCATTGATAACTGGAAATTAAAGCACTACCCTCCCTGTTACTTTGGTTACCTGGAGCCCATTTATACCCTTATGAACCTGGTAAAGGCTACATTCGTATGTTATCAGTAATTCGAGTGCAGCGGACACTACCCCGACTGTTTTGCGAGTCCATATGTGGTCATTTTCACATTCGCCGCCAAACTAAGCATAAGTCTACTTCAATGAAACCTGAACCAATGTGTTCCCCGATAACCTAGTTACTAGATAAATTCTCTGGGATTCTACTCCACTATCCTATATTTCGACTGATTCGAAATAGGAATCTGTTTTGGTTCATAGCTCTTCGAAGGCGATGCGCGAATTCAAGCGTTCTCCTAACTCCGATCACCTGGTTCTAAAATACCGACTCTCTTTGATTTATAGTAAACACCTATGCCATTTGCAACGCTTAAAAAGAACGCCAAATGGGAAATCGCCGATGCAAAAGCAAACAAAGATGGCCTACGACACACAGTGTACCAAGTGAACGGTGATCAGTACCGTGGTGAATGGAAAAACAACAAACGACATGGTACTGTCATGCTGCGAATTATTAAAGAACTGTGTAGGGCGGGGAACATACAAGTGGAACAGGAGCGGGGTTTTATACGAAGGCGACTGGGAAGACGGAAAAAGGAGTGGCTACGGTGTTCTGAGTGTATTGAACAGTGCTGGGAAGCAGGTAAAAGTCTATTGTGGAGAATGGAAACACGACAAACGCCAGGTAAGCTGGTTGATGTTAGTGAATTAAACGAAAACCCATTAAGGGATATGGACAAAATTGGTATTCAGATACTGAGATTTACGAAGGCGAATGGTGTGCGGACAAACGGTGGGGGTGGGGACGCATGCTGTACGCTGATGGGAGTATTTACGAGGGCCAGTGGGTGGACGACCTTCGAAATGGTGATGGAATGTTGCGCCTACGTGAGTTGTTCTGACCAAATCATTGGAATTGCAGCCAATCAAAACAGATTCGAAGGCAAATGGGTAAACGATAAGAAAAATGGCCGCGGGAAGTATTTCTTTCTCGGAACAGGACAACTAATGGAAGGCATATGGGTAGATGATGTGCCGAAATGTTGTCAAATGGCCGATCTTGGCAGAGAACTGGCACCACAACGTACACAATTTGAGATCCCCGAGGTGAGTGGACTGAGTAATCAAGAGTAACTTGGTGAATCTCCAAGATTTTTATTTGGATAAGGCAATACAGAACAGCCGTGTACCTTTTCTTTCTTGAACATAACTACGAACCAAACTGTCGACAGAGCCACGCATAGGACGAACAATGACATTGAAAATACAGGATGGAATTCGCTTGAACGGATTAATTTACGCAACGCGTGAGTTAGGCAAGATAAGGTTAACAACCGGATTGTACTCAAACAGTCCACCAAATTGTTCCCAAATGTTCTGCTAGGTCGGCACTTCGCTTAGCACCTGCCTCTCATTCCTCAGCATAGGTTTCGAAATAACATGATATGAGAGTGGGAAAGAGGGGTACCATGCTTGTCATACATATGTAGTTTCCTGACGCATTACTTCCATTTACACTGAAGCGTATGCATCTGACGGTGGGGAAAGATCCAAGTTCATGATCGTAAACAAGTTGTTTGCTAAACCAAGAAGTGACTTGATTGCGCAGATGGTGTCAGCGCTTCTTGGAAGTAAATCCAGGTGCGGAATACCGTCGGGTGAATGGATATGGGGATCGAGGGCTACAGCACCGATCAGCAAGTGACCGATTTTTAAACGAGCTTTGGCGGGATGGATTTGAAGGCTGCATACGGTAGTCCCACGAGATTTTTCAGACCTGTATGATACAAAGTGACACTGTCCATTTCACTCCGATGGAAATTGGAGTGCGTCTCTAAGCAACCATTCGACAGTCAGGCAGAACACGTTAAAAAAGTTTGATTGAAGAACCGAACCTTCAGAACCAGGTCGAAGTTCCAGCGGTATACATGAATCTCGGCGTTCGTGGTAAATATTGCAGCCTTCTGATATTGGAAAGCATCTACTTCTGCAGCTTACGCTATGGCCAAACGGCGAAATCATCCCTACCGAGGTAATTCCAGAAGTCCAAAGTGTATAGTGCTATAGACGACGGTTTAACCCGGAAATCATATCCTTACCATAGGTAAACAGTATTGTTCAAGTGTTGTATTCTTAGGGAGAGATGTCTCAGTAGTTAGAGCGCGAATTTATTGACCGGAAGATAAGTGGTTCGAACCCAACCTCTGCCTCTCTACTTTTTCTCTCTGGGGTTTGGCAATCTGGCAATATCCCAGCCCTCGTGCTTCCTTCGGGTGGCATGGAACCTAGGCAGCTAAAGTGTGATAGAGTAGATGGGGTTAAAATAATCATCTCATAGGAAGCAGACGGTTTTACATTACTGTCCGCAAAGTTTAAGTAATACATTATATTGCGAACAGGTTCGGATAGGGATCTCAGGATACTCTCCCGCTCTACACTGCAGTTGCTGTGAATCCAAGCTAGAAGTGGTAATGATGTTCGACGGGTGATTCATGTCAGTGAGGGTGTGTATTACATCACA